TTCTTGAACGAGCTCTGGAGTCCACGAAAGTTGACGCTTCTTCTTAAGAGTTCTGATAGGTGTATCCCCCAACCATGGCATGGCCCCTGGGAGAGGGGAAGGGCAGGACCCAGACCTCTCGCGACTCCAACAGGTCGCGCCGCTTCTGTCGGGGAGTAGGGGGCGACGGGGGCAGGCCTCCTCAGAGGGCTCAGAAGTTCTCTGGTCTTTGGAGCAGCTTTCTAAGCCTCCTCCGAGGCCGTGGCGGGGCTCTCAGAAGGCCCGAGGGCTTCTGAGAAACCCCGCCGCCTTCTGAGAAAGCCTGCCCCCTCCCACCTCCCCCCCTCGACCCCCCCCCCCCCTTTCTTGAGCAGGGACCGACCGTCCGGCACTCCTATAGGCCCACCACGACATGTTCTTAGAACGCAAGAATGTTCGAATCACAGGACCAAATTCTTAGAACATAAACCCGACGTGGTAAAAGAAGACAGTGCCAGCCAGAAATGTTCTAAGAACATTTCGTGCAGCCCACAAACAATTCTTAGAACATCGTTTGGTGGGCCTATAGGCACGCCGGGACGCTTCGCCACAGCTTGACTTTCGCGACGAGTGGGCGATTGGGGGTCCATGCGTCCACCCCATGAGCACATCCCCCCCCCCAGCGCTGCCCCGGGGGCGTCCAAGAGGGGGGGGGGGCGTCCAAAAGAGGGGGGAAATCATGGCCCGAGGCACGTGCGCGGCCCAGGGGGTGCCAGGGAACCTTTCGAAATAAGGAAAAAAAGCGCCACGAAGTTCGGAAAGAGATGATGAACCTGGCCACGACATCCCTCCCCGTCAGCCATCACCCCCTCTTCTTGGCCGCCCCCGACTGGCGCTCTCCCCCCCGCACCCCCCCCCCCCTCGCCCCCCGCCCCTCCCCGCCCTCCCGCCCCCCCCTGCCCTCCCACCGCTGCCCTGTCTCGGGGCGTCCAAGAGGGGGGGCCTTAGAAAAGGCGCCATGGAATCCTGGGAGATATCATGGCCCTGGCCATGATATCCACCCCTAGTCATCACCCCCCGCCTCCCGCCCCCCGCCTCGCACCCCCTCCCGGCCCATGGCGCTACCCCCCCCAACCCCCGCCCTCCCCCGCCCCACGCCCCCCACGCACCCGGGGCGCCGCCCCCGATCCCCGCACCCTTGCACGCGTGTGCTCCTGTCGACGTTGCTTCGAGCATCGGCCTGAAGTCAGTTTCTGGCAAGATCGTACCGTACAGTCTAGCGCAGGCGGGATGTGCGGGATTGCAGCAGCGCTTCCCCACCTCCGAAGATATTTGCCTCAGAGGCCCCACAGAGGGCAGTGCTAGCAGCACGCATGTTGCACTGTACACGCGTTGCCGACGACAAGACACGCGTCAAATGTAAGACAAACTTAAGATTGGGACATGTCGGGGATCTCCGAGATGCGGCGCCTCTGGAGATGCATCGGGTGCCGCGGCCGTTCCAGAGCGTTCCAGAACGCTCTGAGAGCGCTTTGATAATGCTTTGGAACAATGAGTATCGTTTATCCGATCCTCATCCCCAGCGGCGTGGCCTGGGCCCCACTGGCCGATTTACCCCCCTAGATGGGGATATGGGCCGTTCCCTTCGGGTTTCGAGGGGTGTGCCCCCAACTGGGGGGATAATTTGGTGGGGGTCTCGAAGGGGATGGGGATGGGGATGTGGATGGGGATCGGATAAACGATACTGAAACCATGCATCCCTGTCCTAGCGCCGCCCAGAAATTCAGAATGAGACGAGATAGCGGTATGCTTCTGACGTTGCTGTCTGGAGGCCGGGCCAGGGCGTGAGGGTAAGGGCCCGGTACGCAGCGATCGCACCCTGGGGAAGCGCTGGGCGGGGACCAGTCCAGGGGGGGAATATCGACCTGGAATCGGCGGTACCACACCGATTGATCGAAGATGCACAACCGATGGCGAATCCGCGCGCTATTGCGGCGGGGTGGGCGATGGGGCCCAGATCGGCGGCGAATGAATGCGCGGTTGGGGGTCGATGCACCGCCCCAGAGCCTGACGCCGCTAGCGCTGCCACCGAAAAGGGGAGGGGGAGGACCACCGTCTTTGTTCTTGGGGGGGGGGGGGGGCGGGGGGATTTGCCCCAACCCTCCTGTGGGGTTCGCGTTCTGAAGATGACACTGTGGTCTTCGCTCCCGTCCATCAGCCTCCCTCCACCCCTCTCCTCCAGCCTCCTACTTCTTGCCTCCTACCTGCCTGTGGGTACCGACCGCGGACCCGGGTTAGAATTCACCATCCTTGGGGGGGGGGCTGCGAACTGCGAAACTGACAGGACGTTCGAGGGCTGCTGATGGGGCCAGCGTAATGAAGTTCTACGCGCAACAGAGCGGGAAATCGCTGTCCATGGGGGCTGCGAACAGCGAAACTCTCGCTAATTTGCTGGTTTCGTGAACTCTTGGGAGGGCAAGCGTAATGACGTCCTACGCAGATCAGAGCGGGACATTTCCGTGCCTGGGGGCTGCAAACTGCG